GTATGAATAAAACAACGGTCATATTATATGCAGCCAGCATCATGTATAACTAATAATAGCTAAAAAAATATACGTATGTATGTTATAAGGAAATGCTAGAGAGATATACCAGTTTATTAATTGTCATTTGAGTTAGAATAAGAAGGCTTTAATGGGAATATAGAGATGCATATCACATGGATTTTATTTTTTAAAGCAGTTGTATATTGAACTTTCGAGATAACGTAACTATAATTATAACTTGGCGCCACTTTTTGATATCAAATCTTTTATATAAATAATACATATTATTAGGTGAGTATTATATATTATTTGAACATCAATAAGATGATGTAATTTTGTAATATAATATTTGGATCTTTGATGCAAAGATATGTACTTGAGTTTTTACATACACATTGCGTGTACACTTGGCGACTTTTTTTACTTTTTTATAAATATATACTATAAATGTATACTACGTGAAATCGCAGTTTTACACAATGCTTCAGTGTTTGACTATATTTAATTGTGTTTCTACCTGGAAAGCTCCATAATATGTTGAATCAAATGCGTACATAAAAAATACGTAAATAATAATGACTTATCTGAAATTTGATTTTTATAGCGCGATTTCGATAAATAGTTTGAAATTTGATGTGAGGAACGAATGCATCCTAGCAGCAGTCTCATGATTATATATCATGTTTAATATATAATCATATTGCTAAATTGCTAAATAAAGTTTGCTCCATTTCTGCTATCAATCTTGTCAAACTATGTTACATAGATTCTATTCGATTTCTGTCGCTAATCTAACATCAAACTATTGCCTAGATCCTGCTCATTTTCTACTTTATTTATCTATAGTAATTGTCGCAAATTCTCAAATGTTATAGATTTTGTTATATTTCTACTGACATTCTGCTATTATTATCACTTGATCCCACAGATTTTGTATAATCTGTAGTTTTTCTGTTGATAAAAATTTATAGGAAATATTTGGCAAAATTTAGTCAAACAGGCTTTACTGGATATTAATGAATTAATAAATAATTAAATAAATGAATAATTAATATAAATAATATAATAATTAAATTAATTTAGACAATTATTTATTATTATATTAATGTAATAATGTACGTAATATAAATAAATAATTATTAAATTATCTAGATTTTTTTAACTGTCGAACAACAGTATTGCTGTATAATAAAAATATTGATAATAATACTGATGTGCTAAGAGCGCAATATAATATAATATATAATAAATATGTCGCGGTATAATATTATAATATGTATTGTGTTTATATACTGTGTGATTTTGAGAGCTCCAATTTTGCATAATTTTTCTAGATTAGCTAAATAAGCTAATTAAATGAGTTAATGAGTTATTCTTAATAATATTGATCATGCAAGATTTGTGAAAATATTGATGTATATATTGATTGACATATCGTCAGTATTACTAATACAATATTATTGATTAATCTTACTAATCGTAAAGTCTATACAAGTGTGTTATCAGTATTTTTTTACAAATTTAAAAAATTGCATTTCATTGTTACAGCGACCTGAATTGTGTCTTGAAAAGTGGAACGGTAAATCTAACTATCACGTACATGAAAGCCTTTCTAAAGAGAAATGGCAATACACAGATTATTCTAAGCAGAATTCGCATAGAAGTCGTTTAGTATGCTTCAGTGTGATAACTGTTGTGATAACAGTTCGTGATAACAATTCACTGTGTGTGATAACAGTTAAGAACGTATTGAGAAATGGATAGAAATATTATACGCGATGTTTTTGCTTTTTTTTCTGCATATACCATAATATTAGGATTACTAATCAATTTCATGGAATCTTTTTTGCCTGCATCGATATCGTGCACTTATCTTTATAGCAAATTTGTTACAAAAATGCCTCATCCAATAGCAAAAAAAGTTTGAAGTACCCAAAAAGGTAAATTAAAAGACTATAATTTTATCAGAATGACATATAAGAAAATTTATTATAATTTAATATTATATGTTGATATCATGTTGATATCATATTGTTGAAAAAAAGAAAAACGTTCTATCCAACTATA